GCAATTTACAATATCTAAGATTTGGAAACAGCCTAAATGCCCATCAGCAGATGAATGGATTAGAAAACTGTGGTACATCTATACAATGGAATACTATGCTGCTATAATAAAAGGAATTCTTATCATTTGCAACAGCATGGATGGAACTGGAGAGCATTATGCTAAGTGAAATAAGCCAGTCAGTGAAAGATAAATATCACATGATCTCACTCATTTATGGATAATAAAGAACATTACAAACTGTTGAACAAAAATAGAGGCAAAGAGGCATTGAACAGACTGTCAAACTACAGTGGGAAGGTAGGGGAGGGTTGGGGGGGTAAGAGATCAACTGAAGGATTTGTGTGTATGCATATAAGCATAACCAATGGACACAAGACACTGGGGGCGAGGGGATGAGGGCAAGTGCCAGGAGGCGGGGTGGAGGTCAGTGGGGAAAAAAAAGAGACATATGTACTACTATTTGTAATACCTTAAACAATAAAATTAAATTAAAAAAATAAAACTAAGGAGGAAAAAAATAAAAATAATTAAAATAAGTGTCGATGTGGTTCTCCAACCACTTAGTCTGCTAGTCCAGATGCAGAGGAAAAAATAAAACTATTATAGATCTAGTAAAAGTTAAACAGACAATAAAAACCAGCAGTGGCGATAAAAAAACAAAAAAAACTTCCCGCAAATGCTCTTCTTTTTTGGCACGAAATTCGACATTTTTAAGTGTGAAAATATCTATGATGTTAACACCCTCAGCAAATTTGACATATGAAGTTTTGAAGCTTGCTGTCAATACAACAAAATAGCATACATATCAAATTGCATATATACCAACATATGTGTCATTCCATCTATTGAAAAAAATCCCCATTATTAACTTTTACACCTAGTAAAGGCAGTAAAATATAATTTTATTTGAATAAAAGAAAAAAAAAAGAAAACAAAACAAAAGGGATCAGAAAACTGTGCCCATGTAACATTTAAGAAGACTTTGGAAACGGGCCATGTGGATGTTTTGTCGGCCCTGTGTGGTGGCAGCCACAGCGCAGGGCAGTGGACGGCATTGGAAAAGCATTTGCAGGGAAGCGTCATTTCTCTTGGACAGAGAGGTGCTCACTTCTAGGCGGCAGTTACCCAAATGAGCCTCGCTTGCCTTACTAGTGAGCTGAGCAAAGGGCCTGGTTAAAATGCGGGATATAAAGTACCAACAAGCTACATGTTTTGTTCTAAAAGTAAAAAACCAACCAAACAAAAAAACTAACTGTAAACCCCAGGTCACCAGACTTCTGAGGCCTGAGCCTTCCTGTTCCAGGTTGAGGAATGGAATCAACATCAGTGCTCACTGTCCAGCTGGTGTAGGTCAGTGGTTGAGCATCAGCCCATGAACCCCAGTCAGGGCACATGCCCAGGATGTGGGCTCGATCTCCAGGGTGGGCATGCAGAAGGCAGCCAATCAATGATTCTCATCATTGATGTTTCTATCTCTTTCCCTTCCTCTCTCTGAAATCAATAAAACATTTTTAAAAAATCAGTGTTCAGGCCTCAGCAGATCATGCCAACAGCTCCTTCAACTGCACACAAAATCTCTTTAATCACTCAAGAATAGTCAAGTGTGTACTATGAAGTAACAATACTACAGACCTCACGATTAACTGAAATGCTAGTTTTCACATAAGCATGATCTGGGCAGTGCAACAAATGCAGACCACGCTGAGACACATAATAAACAGCTTTGCTTCTTTAGGCTTTTTACACACACACACACACACACACACACACACACACACGCACACACACGCACACAAACACGTAGAATGGCGTGCCTCTACTACAAAGCTTAGCAAAAACCAAAAGGAATTTCAGCCAAGTATCAGATTCCGCAGGCCAATTTCTAGTTGTTTGCTAACTGGCTTAACTGTTTCCAATAGCTGGCCCTTAGAATTATATATGAAGAAATAAGCCCTGAATTTTCACTCATAGGCAGTAAAAATCAAATTTGCTACAAAACCACAGACCCATGACCATTCTATAGTCACATTTGAACTTTGGTTGGACCAAGTGTTCCGACAAAGTGAGTCATCATCAAAGGCTGAGGATCTTTATTACAAAAATGGAGGTTGTTACATATTAAGTTACAGGGTTTCAACTCCACACTCCATTAGTATATAGAATTCAATAATTTTATTAAAAAGAAGAAAATATATAGAAAAAGCTAAATTAAGTCAGATTTATTTTTCATTGATTTAATCAACAAAAAATATACTGAGAATAAAGATGAAATGATGTATCCCTTTTTCAAAATTTACACAATGTCATGAAAATTACTTTATATGACAGGAAAGCTGAATTTGGTCTACCAACTTAAGAAGAAGTAGTGTTATTAAGAAATTTCATTTTATTCTCCTTCAGTTCCAGAGAGTTCAACTCCTTATAATACTTACTAATATAGAACACCAGGAAAAATAAGGAAATTTCTTTCTAAGGTCATTTTCCATTTCAACCTTCCTTCTCAAATCTCATAAATTAACTTCTTAAAAGTTACTCTTGGCAGTCTCAAAAATACACATCACATCTCTTGAATCATATTCCTATGGTAAAATTCCAAAGTGAATCAGTTTTACAACAAAAAGAAATTTTTTATTCTCCTTCAGTTCCAGAGAGTTCAACTCCTTATAATACTTATTAATATAGAACACCAGGAAAAATAAGGAAATTTATTTCTAAGGTCATTTTCCTTCTCAAATCTCATAAATTAACTTCTTAAAAGTTACTCTTGGCAGTCTCAAAAATACACATCACATCTCTTGAATCATATTCCTATGGTAAAATTCCAAAGTGAATCAGTTTTACAACACAAAAAGTTATGCTGCCATTTAAGTGCTCAGAACTGAATGTTTCTGTAGATCTAGTGTGATATATAAAGGTGAAATTAAGACAGATTTCTGTTAATCTAATCAAGTTTGCTGTTAGTTGTGCATTAACAGTATAAAAGCTAATATATACCTATATGGTCTTGCAACAGTTTTAAAGCCTCTGTATAATTAATAAAAATGCATGACACTTGTTTTTAATAAGCTTTCAAAATTATAATTTTAGGTTTGACACATAGATCTTTGTACAGTTCACTTTTTTTGACACAGCAAGGCCAAAAATAAGTTTCTGAATATTTTTTTCGTCTGCATAAGTGGAGAGGGCATTTTTCATACCATAAGTGGGCTAACCAATGTTCTGAAAAGAACTTTATCATTGTGCAACTAACAACAGTAGCTAGCCCTTAATTTTGATGACAGTTCCTTGTTGGTGTGTGTGAGATTACTCTAGTGACTATGACAGTATAACACAATTGAATCTCCCACATTGAATGATTCCTTTCCCCTGCCCCCAAACCCTATCACCCAGAGAATTTACAGTTCTATTAACAGTGAATTTGATAAAATATTACTGATTTTTAAAAATTTCAGATTATCTAAGGGAAAAAACCAGAAAATTATTTAGTGTGGCCATCTTACATGCTTATGTGTCCCTTAAAAAATCTAAATATTCTAGCAGTGGTGTAATGGTAAGTTACATCTTACTGTTGATGTCTGTATGCTCTAGTACATGGTGTCATTTTATTGTCAGAGCACTACAGTGACATATACAAATAAAAATTTTAAATAAAAAAAAATAAATCCACTTTAGTTTTTTTCCCCAGCAGATGTAATACATATTTTATGTACACATTTTCATTTAAAATTAAGTTTTTTGGCACAGAATCCCAGGCCTGAAGTTTACAAATGGTGTCTCCACTGCTTTCCACCAACCAACTAGGGGGAGTTTGGAAGGAAACGGTGCTCTCAGTGCCTGGATCTTGTATGTATGAGTGCTCCCCTCTGCCTCCCACCACAGCCCATCAGTGTCCCGAGCCTTCAGAGCATGAGAATAAAGGCTAGAATAGTTACTTCTGCACATCGGTGGGGGAGAAGATGGGGGCAGAGAGCCGCTGCCAAGGTTCCTAAGCACTGTGTCTTTAAATTTATGCATGTTTCGCATCAGTAATACTGCGGCCACGCGTACTCTTTGCAGTACCTCCAGTGTGAATCTGTGGAGCTACACGAGTGGCTTAATTCATGTCCAAACCCAGACATTTACAATCTTGTTCCAGTCACGTTTGAAAGAGGGTTTTTATTTTTTCCAGATAAACTGTCAGTCCAAGAAAATCTGCATATAAGAGACGGAAACTCAAGTCATCTTTAATGCTTATGTCCCACTGCTTGCTCTTCCTGCTGTGCTTTTAAAAGCACTCAGGTGAGTAGAGTCCATTTTTATATGAAGAGTTACCACTTTATTTAGGGGGGGGGGGCGTAAAAACTTACAAACTAGAGCAAAATAACAGCTCTCCCACACTCTCCAAAGTGCTTCCTGCCTGAGTAAAAGTCAAACCTGAAGTCTAACCAACCTGTTAAACACTGAATACTATTATATAAACTTTCCATCTTGTCTGCTAAAGCCTCTGGATTCAACGTTCCCGAATGCGCTACAGAAACATTCCCAAGCAGATGGTCACAGATGGGCGTGAAGGGGACGCTCCTGCCTCCTCCTCCAGCATCTCACACTCTAACTGGCCCACGCGTTTCAGCAGGTGCTGCGCTGGCTCCCCACTCGCCAGAGGCCCCATAGTGTTGCTCCATCGAAGCTGCCCCCCGTCTGTCACACCCACAGACGGGTGTCACCCACACAGCCTTTCTCTTTGCACCATTTACACACGAAGAGGCGATGGAATCCATATGTCACCCCAACACACATAGAATGAGGAACAAATAAAAACCAGCTGATTTTCAATCTTCCTGGGTGGGGCTCGGAGCCGTCCCCCAGCTGCTCGTGAGCTCAGAATGGAGCCAGGGAGGCCGGGCTCTGAGTGCCGGCCGCCAACCACCAGGAGCCCCAGCCACCAGGAGCCCCAGCCACCAGGAGCCCCGGCCACCAGGAGCCCCGGCCCCCAGGAGCCCCGGCCACCAGGAGCCCCGGCC